TTACTCAAATTGATGGGTTTGGATGATGGGGGAAACTCGTGTCACAGGCTCTTTAAACTGTCACTCTTAGCTAATTTAGAGCCATTATTACCAGCTGCTAAAGCAATGCTGGTGTTGTTTTCACCTATTGAGTCTGCATGTGTGTGTCATCATGGCAACGTGGTCCTGAAGACACACAGAGGTGGTTTTGAGTACTTTGCCTAGTGTTTAAATGCACGTGGACAGATTTTGTCAATCACAACCATGCAAGTTTTAGTGTACCTTCTCAATCCTTTTCCCATGCCATTGCTGTCAACACCTATCCATGCTGAACGTTGCTAATATATTATTGATTGGGGTGTGGCCAAAAGTGCAATATGCTTCAAAATGTAACTGACAGAGAGCAGTGCTTTTGTCCTCCTTTGAAAGGTCCTCTTCCTTTTCTCCAAGGTACACAACAAGGCAGCGGATGGCTATAGTTCTCTGCGTACTTCAATTGTATTGTGCTATTTCTGAAAAAGGAAAAAAAGAGAAATGACCTAAATGAATATATTCTGAATGGGTGACTGCCAACAACTTGCATTTCAATGACAACTCTAAATAAGGATCCTACCTCAAGAAGCATGTCCTTGATCTGCTTCACCGAGATTCATTTTGAATAAAAAGCGATATCACTATAGAAACCAAAGTAGTTTTACGCTCACAGTAGCCTCTACTACTTTGTATCCTCTCACAGAACTATTCACAGTTCAAAGGCTGCTAGTTTTGGTCAAACAGCAATTTGCCTATACAGTGCAACTACAAGGCTATCTACTGTATTTGAATGACAACAGATGACACTCACCTTAAAATGTCCTTTGTATATTTCTATTTGTCTTAACTGTGGGAACTTGTCCAGGCATCTTAAGTAAGAGTGGACTTGAAATCCTTAACTCAAGGTGTAGAACAATTAAGTTATCAAGCAAATTGCATTACTTACTACAACTTGAATTTAGTTTTAAGTCTATTAACGCAGAAATCAGAGTTCAAATTACACACAATATTAAGTTGATGTAATTACCAACATTATTACGTCAACACAACTTATAAATTAATGTTTGCAAGTTAAAATGTTTATCTAAATCAATTAACTCACATTTTTATCTTGCAACTATGCATTTAATTAAGTGGAGGTGAAAGGTCGCCTGAATTCGTTTTTAGAGTGTACGTAAAGTGACGTCGTTTTCTTGCTCTTTCCTGGCTGTTAGTTCAGTGAGTTTTTTCATTTCTAAACTTGGCGTACGCTCAAAAGATGGCATACACCAATTTCTAAGCAATCTTTGCGATTTATAAAAAAACAAACTTGACGGGAAAATGTGCGGTCCTCCACGTGCACTCTGACCCATGCGTACGCACAGAGACGGGTGAGATGAGAAACTGCGACACCGTTGGCAGAAGGAAGAATGGAGAAAAACATGTGAAAATAATACCATAAATAAAATGTTACACCTCATTTATCATATATGAAGGATTAATTTGCAAAAATTGATTAAAGCCAATCTTAAAATGATTAAACAAACGCCTGTTTGAGACTCCTCAGTGCACACAAAACATAACTTGGAGAAATAAATAAATACGGATATGTTATTGAAAACCACCTTGAATATGTTGTTATATGTGGAACATGTTGAAGTCAGTATGAAGTCTCCATCAGACAGAAAATGATTGGCTGAAACAGTCTGTTAAACTCCAGTCTGTGAAGGTTTCTCATTTCTCTAATCCCCTCCTCGACTCCTATCCTTGTGTCTTAGTCCCGCCCACAAGAGATGCAAGCAGAGGAGTCGAAACGAGGAGAGAGGAGTGGAAGCAGCAGGCGTTTAGAGAAATTACATTACATTTAAAGATGATTTAGAAGAACTCAAAACCAGTAAACCACATAACCAAAACTAAAACTTCTTGCAAGTGGTTCAAGGTATTTGAATGTGGTAAGTAGGTTAAGACCTTGTAGGAATGAAGGGAGCTGATATGTCCTACAATAGTATATGACATTAGTATAACACCGTAACCAATGCTTTTACTGAAACATTACGGATTAATAGACAGTATCAACTCTGTGTTTGAGAGTTAGAAAAACCCAATGCTGATAACGTTAGGACGTTTGGAACAACAAGTCCTCCAACTCATACGACTAAATAGACCGATTGTTCAGGCCAAATTATTACGACCATTATCCTATAATTACGTTTTAAAGTTTTCGCCCTCTAGTGCTCCCGTAGAATGCAAACGTTTCAGATGGTCGTTTATTCCTCTCTGTAAAATCCTAAATTGTAGGATAGTTTGGCCATTAAAACGCTTTTTGATTAGATTTCTAGCGAGAAGTGTATATTGTACTTTTAGAATCCACGTCCAGTCGATATGTAGGATCTATAGTTTGATAGATATTACGAAGATGATTTGAGGTATGCGGCAGCCTCCATGTAAAGTTCCGGGTTGAAAACAGTATTTCTGGTCTCAAGGTTTTCATAATAAAACCAATGATCAAATGATTTAACAGTGATATCTGCAGTACTCATCCACTAAAAAACATCAGTTTATCCATGTTAATTATACGACATGTATTGGTTTAAATTGTGTACAATGCTTTTGTGTTTTTCCCATAGGTTTTTCTCTTTCAATTCTGAGAGACACATTTCTTTTTTCAGAGGTTTTGATAGGCTAAAACATTGCCACAATGCATGTCGGGATATGGTGTTTATCCAATATGAAATCGGAAAAACATTTTTTTTAAATTAAATAATACTTAATTCCGAGTGTTAGGCAAGGCAAGTTGATTTATATAGCACCTTTCAACACAAGGCAATTCAAGGTGCTTTACAAAAATGAAAGACATTCAGACAAAGGCATTTAAAAATAGTAAAAGATAATAAAAGAAACATTAAAAGAAAAGATACATGAATAAAAAGTTACAGTGCAGTTTAAGATATGAATAGTTCACACAGAAGTTCCACTTTCCTGATGAACACAACGGCTCAGTTTCAATTAAAATTAAAAGCAGTGACAAAAAGAAAAGTCTTCAGCCTGGATTTAAAAGTAGTCAGAGTTGCAGCGGACCTGCAGGTTTCTGGGAGTTTGTTCCAGATATTTGGAGCATAATAACTGAACGCTGCTTTACCATGTTTAGTTCTGACTCTGGGGACAGAAAGCTGACCAGTCCCTGAAGACCTGAGAGATCTGGATGCTTCATCATTTAGCAGGAGATTAGAAATGTATTTTGGGCCTAAACCATTCAGTGCTTTATAAACCAGCAGTATTTAGAAATCTATTCTTTGACACACAGGAAGCCAGTGTAAAGACTTCAGAACTGGAGTGATGTGATCCACTTTCTTAGTGTTAGTGAGGACTCGAGCAGCAGCGTTCTGAATCAGCTGCAGCTTTCTAATATATTTTTTAGTGAGACCTGTGAAGACACCATTGCAGTAGTCCAGTCTACTGAAGATAAAATAATGGACAAGTTTTTCCAGATCCTGCGGTGACATTAGTCTTTTAATCCTAGATATGTTCTTTAGGTGATAGTAGGCTGATTTAGTAACTGTTTTAATGTGACTGTTGAAACTCAAAGGTTTTCTCATATTATGTTTGATATTATGTTTTATTAACTACACCACTGGTTTTTTAACCCGCGCCGCCTGGTGGTTAAAGCACGTTATTGAATTTTGTTGTTGAATACGTTTTATTTGATGAAAACATTTAAATATTAAGAGTAGCCTACATACAAAATTGAAGAGTTGAGTGCAGGACGTCCAAAGATATTAACAGGAGGATGTGCAAAACAGACAAACTAATAAGGCTTTATTTAAACATTAAAGAATACTTTAGGTTAAGTTCTTCTTTTGAATAAGAAAAAAAAAGTGGGGTTATCCACAGATAAATATGAAGTCTGACAAAGTACTTAACGTCCAATATATTGCATAGTTTATTTTGGCACTTGACAATCACCTTCCCTGAATTTGACTCAGGTGTAACTAAAGGCTGATTTAAGGGTTGTTTATATTTCACATCATTAATCAGAATGTGCAAAGTAACTAAAATAAATGTAGTGGAGTAAAAATACCAGGTTAACCTCTGAATCGCAGTGGAGTAGAACAAAGTAATACATGCTGCTGTGACAAAAACATTTCCCAACTTGGGATCAATAAAGTATATCTTATCTTATGATGATCGATGGCTGCCATAATTGCTAAATGTGCATCTGAACCTTAACAAGTGCATGTTTCAGGCTTATCAATGAACAACAGGAGGGGTCACAGACATAAGACCAGCTGTTAAATAAAGCTCTTCTGACCTTAGCTGTCATGTGGCTATATTAATTCACCCATTTATTAATTATATGTTTTAAATGTGATAACACCACTGTGTTTCGTATCCCCTAAACCTCCAGGGTGTACACAGTTTAATACTGGCAACTTCTAATTGTGGGAAATACAATAGCCAGCAGGTGTAGTTCTGGGGGGGGGGGCTGGACCATGGATGTATGGGCTGTCCAATTCCAGTTTTGGAAAGTCTGCCGTGGTTCCATTCCATTTCATAGAGCTGTGACGCTCAGCGTAACCTTGTTGCACTGCCACTCCAACAACCAATCACAGGGCTTGATGACTAATCACGGGGTTTGTAAAGCAAGGCGGATGTTGTAGTCCCAAACGATAGCTGGAGATTCTGGGTAGTGTTGTGTCTTGGGAAACTGTAGTGTTAAAAAAACTATTTGTTTCTCTTAATCGAAGGTTAAAAACACAAAAGCATTGTACACAATTTAAACCAATCAATATTGTGTAATTAACAAGGATAAACTGATGTTTTTTTAGTGGATCAGTAATGCAGATATCACTGTGTAATCATTTTACAGTGGGGAATATGTCTTGGCTCTCAGCCACAACAAACGCGTGACAGAAACAAGGGCGTGAATAGAAAAAAAGAGTTTATTTGGCTGCTGCTGAAGGACACAAACAGGCGAAACAAAAGGTCAGCTGGTCGTGACTGCTCTTCGCGCTGCGTCCTCCTGCCAGAGAGAGAGCGAGATCCGGCCCGGTCCTTTATCCGGCTAGCTCCAGCCGCCAGGTGTCCTCAATCCCAGCTGATTGACCAAAGGGAAAACCTTAAAGGAACATACACACCCCAGAGATAATAAGGCAGGGGTCGTCACAACCCCCCCCCTTAAAGTCGGTGTCCCCAGGACCACCGGCACACCAACCCTGACAAAACAAAAAAAACACCAGTAATGAACAACAAAAATACCAGACATACGGCACCCCACTTCCAACAAAACCAACAATTGCAACATACAACCCTCACACTGCCAGCCGCTTCTCCCACACCCAGCCACATCTTTAGCAACACAGGTAAGCAACCTGAGAAGCACACTTTAAAAGGATGGGCAGACGAGAACGATTTATTAAACTGTATGACAGACAATACATTACCGTCACGGCCCATGCTTCCTCAGTTGTAGCAGTTAGTTTCACTGGCTTTACTGCAATGCACCGCCACGTGGCCAATGTCGCCACACCTGTAACATTTCACCCTACTGCAACGTCTCTGGATGTGACCAAGCCCACCGCAGGAATAGCACTTCCGGTCGTTGGCATGCCCACAGTCACGAGCCATGTGTCCTTGGTCTCCACACCGATGGCAGGACATTTCCTTGCCTCTTCCTCGACCCCTGTTGCCGCCGCCACGACCACCATCAACGCTGCCGCCACCACGACCACCATCAACGCCACCGCCGCCACGACCACTTTGACTAGTGGGACAATGCTTGGTCTTCTGTTTTCTAAACATGTTTTTGTCCATAGCACGAGTGATCACACCAGAGGGCGTGACGTCTGCCAACACTGTAGAGCTCTCCTCAGACCTTGACTCAATCGGACCGCCAGTCACTAAAAGCACAGGGGGAACATCAGTCCAGACTCTGCTACCTGCCAAACCGTTGCCCAGGATGAACTGTATCCGCTCCATTGGCAAATCTGGACGTACACCAACAGCCACCTCACCCTTAACAAGACCACAGTCAATATACATCCTATGAACAGGAATAGGAAGAACTTTTAATCCCAGTCCCCTACTCAGAAGGGTGTCACCAGTGTCACTTTCATAAGACAGAGGCAAAACAGAGTCAACAATATAGGAGTCAAAAGCCCCTGTGTCTCGCAAGATTTTGATTGGAACTATGACATTACTACCTACCAATGACACCAAGCTGTCTCGTATAAATGGAGCATAAGATACCAAAACCTCAGATCCACCTAAGTGGGATGTAAGCACATCGGCAACACCGCTGCTTTCCACAGGAGCAGCCAACGCAACAGGCCCAACAAAATATCTTCCTCCCTTAGATTTTTCTCTAAGCGCAGGACAGTCTGCCTTCCAATGGCCTTTTTCGCGACAGTAGTGGCAAATATCATTATTATCCCCCTCAGATTTGACCAAACCCAAGTTCCTTGGCTCCATCCCAAATGAACCAACCTTTCTACTTCCGTCAAAAACAGCCAGGGCCGCGAGCGCCCTCCGAACCTGCTCTTATGAAGCAACACAAACTCATCAGCTGCCACAGCAGCTTCAGCCGCAGAAGTGACCCTGTGTTTTGTTATGTAAGTAGCAATCTTGTCTGGAAGAATATTTTTGAACTGTTCCAAAGTCATGAGCTCACACAAATCGTCAAAAGTAGTGACGTCAAGAGCAGTTAAGCAACGCTTAAAATGAACAGACAAATCCCTCGCCATCTCCACATATGTTTGATCTTGTTTTTGCTCAAAGGACCTAAAACGCTGTCGATAGGCCTCTGGCACCAGTTCATATGCTCTAAGCACCGCCGATTTTATTTTACTATAGCTAGAGCTATCCTCAAGACATAAGGAGGAATATGCTGACTGCGCTCTCCCTGTGAGAACACACTGAAGCATCAGAGCGCAGTCCGCATCAGGCCAATCTCTAGCCCTAGCTACACGTTCAAAAAGCAAAAAAAAAGTGTCAGGATCACTTTCATTAAATTGCGGTAACAAGCGCAAGTTGTTGGCATCGAACCGATGAGGAGACCTGGGCACCTGTTCACCGTGCCAGTCACCCAACACCGCACCATCTCTGACCATAGAAAGACGTTGTCCTTCCATATCCAGTTTGGCTCCCTCAGTCTCCTGCCTCATCCGCTCCACTGCAATTTCCTTTTCAAACTCCATCTCATACCTCATTTTGTCATGACTCAGCTGCAACAATAACATCTCCTTCTGCTGCTCAAAGGACAGTGAACTAGCCTGAAAAAGAGGTTTTAACAAAACCCCCTCTTCCTTTGCAGCAAACACTCCTGTCTCACTTAATGTTGATACTATAGAGTATTTTATGTTGTCTTTCACCGTTCTATCACCGACAATAGACACAGAGAAATGCTCAGCAATTAAGAGCAGCTGCTCTCTTGGGAAAGTGGCAAGAGACTCCTGAGACGGAGCTTCAATAAATGCCTCTACGTCAGCCATCTTAATTTACACCGACCCCTCACCGGAACACAACACCGGACCTTTAAACCGAAAGAAGAGAACAAAAACAAAAACCAACCGGACAGATACCACCACGTTTATTATGCGTCCAAAGTGGAACACTAATTTTTTGATTGGAGTTTCCCCACTAACTCACCATCCCACTGACTAATCTCCTCCCTAGTCTTCATGCCGTTACTTGTGGTGGGTATTTATGCACTGGAGACCGCTAATCCAACAAAGCGACTAGCAAGCTAGCAACACTACTGAGACCACGGCCATGCTCCCAAGCCAAGGCTTCAACCACTTTCTCCGCAACACTACACACCCCGCTCAACGATCCCAAGGGAACCGCCGCTTAACCTGCCAGGGAAAACTCTGCACCGTTCCGCACTGCTCCACATGCAACGCACCAACAAACCCACACAAGAGAGAAAGGAAAAAACAAAAACAAACCGCTGACCACGGCTAAGAACAACTAGAAGCTACCACTCGAAATATAATACCAAACAAATCAAAGCATCACAAAGTAATCAAATCAGTCCCCCAAACAACAATCTGAAATCTAATGTCCTTCCCACCACGAGCCGAAACAAAGAAACCGGCCGCACTGCAAACGCGCTCCAACAAACTTCATACACGCGCACCAACTCCCAACACAATCTCACCTATCCGTTGCTGTATCACAGATAAAAAGAAGTGGACGAGCCCCCAGCTGTCATGGCTTGGCTCTCAGCCACAACAAACGCGCGACAGAAAATGAGAGTGTGATAGAAAAAAAGAGTTTATTTGGCTGCTGCTGAAGGACACAAACAGGCGAAACAAAAGGTCAGCTGGTCGTGGCTGCTCTTCGCGCTGCGTCCTCCTGCCAGAGAGAGAGCGAGAGCGAGATCCGGCCCGGTCCTTTATCCGGCTAGCTCCAGCCGCCAGGTGTCCTCAATCCCAGCTGATTGACCAAAGGGAAAACCTTAAAGGAACATACACACCCCAGAGATAACAAGGCAGGGGTCGTCACAAATATATCCGGTTTTATTATGAAAACTTCGAGACCGGAAAAACAATTTTCACCCATGCTAGCTTTACATGGAAGCTGCATACACGTTATCCTGGCGAGACCTCAAATCATTTTCGTAATATCTATCAAACTATAGATCCTACACATCCACTGGACGTGGATTCTAAAAGTACAATATACACTTCTCGCTAGAAATCTAATCAAAAAGCATTTTAATGGCCAAACTATTCTACAATTTAGGATTTTCCAGAGAGGGTTATTTGTGAATAAACGAATAAACGGGAGCATGTTGTTTCTTACACAACCACTAGAGGGGCTACACTTTAAAACGTGGCTATGGGTTGTGATATCGTAATCTAAGCTGCTTAAACCATCGACCTATTTGGTCGTTTTTTGTAGGAGGACAGGCTGGTTTGGAAGCCTCACCTACTCCTTCCAGGTCGAGTGATTTTGGATAAATAAACAAATACTAACTCTAGCCGTCGCTAAAGCCCTAAACTTGATGACTGCTGATATTATAAAAGTAATTGATGAAAACTCAGATCTCTGGTCGAGTGTATTAATAAGCATTCTGCGGAGCTCCAGTCTGCTAGCAGCCGGCTAGATGAAGCAGAGACCAGGATCAGGCGGTAGAAAACTCTGCCACAGCGCAAGAACCTGGGATTGGCGAACTTGAGAAGAAGGTCAGCGCTCTAACGGAGAGCTTCGATTTGGCTGAAAACTACAGCAGGCGTCTGAATATTCGGGTCGTTGGCTTATTCTTCCATTCATGCAGAGTGGACATGTTTTATAACATGGTGGACACTTAGAACTTTATACTCCTTAACAAATAGTCCGAGTGTCGCGGATGCATGACATGAGCATTACTGTTATATTTTATAGTGATTTCTCCCGTATGGAGTGCTTTTGTTTCATGCAAATGTTCACTTTAATGCACTGCCATTGGGTCGGCAGTGATGGCCAGTCACTGCCCATCCTCCCCTGGTTTCCAGCAGAATACTTGCTGCGTGTTCCAGAGCCAACAAGAGGCTCTTACAGCTGCATCCCCCAACCTACGAGCAGCTGTTTTGCAATTACTTTGAATTTACTTTTAAATGTATGTCCACCTCACATTTCTCAGAAACCAGGGTTAACGTCTAAACCACTCCTCTTCAGACCGACCTCCATCAATCCCTTCATGCCTTCACCACCACCAGTGCCTAGACCCCAGAGTCCTGCACGGGTCTGATTTTCAAGACCCGCTCCCGCCCCGCACCCCCAGTGTGCTGATAACCGACATGACTCGCCATTAAAAAATGTTTGAGTACAGATAAAGCAGCTGTCACATAGATATGAAGGAAAGAACATATTTCACCCTGCAACATTTTAGAGTGTTATGTTTCCTTGTAGCTTTCTGTGTGTGGGATTCTTTCTCAAAGGTTCAAGAGTAAGGATATAATAGTAATAGTTCCAAGAGATCATGCCTCCATCAACTCCAAAGAGTTTCATGTTTATGCAAAATGGCTCCATCTCCCTCAGTATGCAACTCAACGTTAAATTATTACAACGGTTAACTTGTATGGAGCATATTTGCTGTTACTAGCTAACGCTAATTTACACATGGACCTCTATGGATAAAACAGGACCAATAAAATCAAACTTTGAGTATCTTCTGTAATATACTACATGAGGAATTTTATTTCAACTGGAATCTTTTTAACAGTTTCGAACACAGCTCATTGGCATCTAAACTTGTTTAACCACAATCGTTTCATCTCCTTTGAACACATCACAAGGAAGTACCAACGGCTTCTGGAATATGTCAGTACACAGGGTGATAAATCAAAGCAGGGGAATTGAAAATGTTCCAGAAACTGTGACAGGTTGGCACAATAAAAAACGTCTTGAACTTTGCATTCTACAAGCTTATATTTTAGTGAAACATTGCATTCCATTGATTGAAAGACCACACGGTGGTTCAACCCCATTGAAGGCTGCAGCAGGAATTACAAGAAACTGTCAGAAGAAAGCTGTGCTATCTGGAGAAACGTCTGTTTTTCCATTGTATTTTGGAGGGAGTAACCCTCTACATGAAGGGTACTGTATCAGTTACATTTAAAGATGATTTAGAAGAACTCAAAACCAGTAAACCACATAACCAAAACTAAAACTTCTTGCAAGTGGTTCAAGGTATTTGAATGTGGTAAGTATGTTAAGACCTTGCAGGAATGAAGGGAGCTGATATGTCCTACAATAGTATATGACATTACTATAACACCGTAATATATTACAACCAATGCTTTTACTGAAACATTACGGATTAATAGACAGTATCAACTCTGTGTTTGAGAGTTAGAAAAACCCAATGCTGATAACGTTAGGACGTTTGGAAGCCTCACCTACTCCTTCCAGGTCGAGTGATTTTGGATAAATAAACAAATACTAACTCTAGCCGTCGCTAAAGCCCTAAACTTGATGACTGCTGATATTATAAAAGTAATTGATGAAAACTCAGATCTCTGGTCGAGTGTATTAATAAGCATTCTGCGGAGCTCCAGTCTGCTAGCAGCCGGCTAGATGAAGCAGAGACCAGGATCAGGCGGTAGAAAACTCTGCCACAGCGCAAGAACCTGGGATTGGCGAACTTGAGAAGAAGGTCAGCGCTCTAACGGAGAGCTTCGATTTGGCTGAAAACTACAGCAGGCGTCTGAATATTCGGGTCGTTGGCTTATTCTTCCATTCATGCAGAGTGGACCTGTTTTATAACATGGTGGACACTTAGAACTTTATACTCCTTAACAAATAGTCCGAGTGTCGCGGATGCATGACATGAGCATTACTGTTATATTTTATAGTGATTTCTCCCGTATGGAGTGCTTTTGTTTCATGCAAATGTTCACTTTAATGCACTGCCATTGGGTCGGCAGTGATGGCCAGTCACTGCCCATCCTCCCCTGGTTTCCAGCAGAATACTTGCTGCGTGTTCCAGAGCCAACAAGAGGCTCTTACAGCTGCATCCCCCAACCTACGAGCAGCTGTTTTGCACTCCATACCTGCTACTCCCAGAGCTGTGAGCGTCTTCCACTCAGATTGGGCCACTTTATAACACCCAATACTTACTGTAACATTAAAGATTAATAGATAATATCAAATCTGTGTTTGAGAGTCAGAAAAAGGCAATACTGTCAACGTTACGACGTAGCTGAATGCAAATCTTCACAATACAGGTTATTATGTA